TAAAGAGCAAAACCCTGACCTAAAAGATAAAACCTTCTATGTGCTACCCCTGTGGGAATAGCTGCCCCTGCAGAAACAATAACTAAGGCCTGCCTTCCTTGTGGCCTAGCAGTTAAGAGTCTGTGCTGTCACCCCAGTAGCCTGGGTTTGACTCCCAGGCAGGAAATGGGGCTGTTTTGGTTTTATGTTTATATAACTTTCAACTTTTTGAGGTACTCATTTATTATTGATCCTCTCCCCTTCCTTAGATAGCCTTTAATTTCCTGTCTTCTGTCTGTGGGACTCCCAGGAGACTTTAGGGCCTTTGTATGTAGATGGTCAGCGAGAAGCTGAGGCCGTAGAGAATATGGCCAGATAGAAACGTGGACTGTACCGCATTTGCGGGGAAACTGATTTTTTAGAGCTGTTCTTATGCTGTTTCTGGATCATTGACAACTGCTTTCCATCTCTTTGGAGACAGCTCATGCATCCTTGGTTAAGTCACAACCTTGGTTAAGTTTAATTTAAAAGGCACCTTTAGTTTAAAAAATGTTCAAAAGCCAGAAATATCAGCTGTGTGTCTCTGCTAAAATCTGCTCCCATTTACTTTTACTCCTCCCTACTCCCCCTTCCCCCTTGCTGCCTTCAGTACCACATGAAAGGACCTAGAGGGAACTTCTGATGACTCAGACCCCTTAAGAAACTCAGAAAAGGCACCGCTCATCCCCTTTTTGGGGTCTTCTGTTTTCTTCATGATGTCTAAAGAGTCAGATTCCACTCAGGTATAAAACTCTGCTTGCGTTTGTAACTCTGTTGTAACTTTTTGTGATGCTTTTTGCTTACATTACCTCTCTGGCTTTTAGGAGTACCAGAAATTACTTTGCATCATGAGAAAATCTGACCTTGGTGTGGGTAATGGCTAGGCAAGAGTGACAATGTTACAGAAGGCTGACTACACCACTACGGGGAGCTTCTTGTTTCTTTGCACATTAAATAAGAAAGGGTGAAGTTTAAACACTTAAAAAAATGTCTTTGAAAGGGAATACACTGTGAAAGCCAAGGTGAGACATTCTGATATCTAGCTGCTTAATTCAGAGGGATTTCTGAATTTCCTCTAAGCTCATCTGTATGTCTCCTATAAAATCCTATGATGAAGTCCTAAGATTTTGTGTTACTTTGGCATCTATTTTTAATCTTCTAACTAACACACCCAAACTCCCAGAAGAGGGGGAAAAAAGGCTTACATTCTCCCTCTGTGGTTGAGATGTAAATTTGCTACCCTTTTTCTCTAAAACTTAAGGGCTTCTCCAGATAAACTTTAACATTTTCCATTCACAAAGCCACAGTTCAAATCCAACCTTCCTTTTCAACTAGTAAGTTTTACTTCCCTTATGGCTAACGTTCTAAAATCAAAACTATAAAGTCTTTGTGTGTACATGTGTATATTATATTAATATGTTGAGTCTACATACATGTATATATACCCGAACATATGCTTATATACTGTCTACATGTGGTACCAAAATAATTTGAAAATGATAGCTAGCCCAAGTGCTTTTCAAGTTCATGTGACTTTAGTAATCTTTGATAAATATAGTTTTAAAATTGTTAATAAAATAAAAACTTCTTCAAAATTTAATTTAGATGTTTTTTTTCCCCCTGAATATACTGGTCAGGCAGGTTAATACTACCTCGGCTAGATGGTTAAATGTCATAAAACTTGCTTTGTAGTACTTTTGATACTTGCTTAACTAGTCTATGAGTTTATGACTTTAGATTTAAACCTTAGGCCATGGAGAGGCATAGGGACACCAGGTGGAAACACTGCTGATTATTTTTGTTTTCCAGTCCAGAGTTAAGAAAACTGTGTTATTTCTTCTTTTCAGCTATTTATACCTTACAACAAATTGATAAAATATATTTTTGTGAGCAAAATTAGATAATCATTTGTTTTTCTCTGTACTTGATTTCTCCAAAATTTAAAAACTATTTGTGAGTATTCTTAATTTATGACAATATGGTTATTTGTATAATTAAATAAGAATCTGATTTCTTTTATAACAGGACACAATTGGAGACACTGGTTATTTTACCAAGGTTTTGACTGGAATGGCATATTTTCATACATGTCCCTATTGCTTGGAAGAATTAAGGCTGACTTATAGAGCCGATAAAAAGCCCTTTGGAAAGACTGGCTTGGAACTTTGTCTTTTACAAAGTTTCCTGACCTGTAGATAAGTAAAGAATGTCACTTTCTGACAGGCCCAGGAGCCCAAAGTTATTTTTGGATCTTGAGAAAAAAGTAATTTTCCCAATTCATACAAGTATTACAGACAGTCTGATGATTTGACTTTCTAGCCACAAAAGTCTAATCTGAGATTCCTTGTGAAAAAGTTCCAGCAAAGACAATTTAAAAGGAGCCTATATGGCTAATAATTATTCTTGCTGCACTTTATACAAATAATCAAGCCAAGTGTAATAAGACTAAAATTTATTTCACAAATAAATTGGTCCCACTATGATATAACCTTGGTAAAAATGAGAAACTGGAGAAAGAAAAAATTATATTTCAGAAGAAACTACAGTACAACTGTTTTTAGATTCTGGCCTTGTTCATTGTTTTTGGGTTTTTATTATTTGCCTACAATTTGGCATTGGTCCTTTTCTGATTTAATTTCCCTCCTCTCTGTGGGACACAATCTCCTAAGAATGAGCCTTCTTAGTGATATGGGATTAGATGAAACATACAACCCAAAACTCATGTTTTCTATAATGCTTTCTCTGAAGATTTTTAAGAATAAGGGGGGAATATAAGGGAAAATAAAAATTTCAGGACCACTCCCTCAACTCCTTATGCAAAAGGGAAGGTCAAGCCTAGAGGCTGAGTCATGCAACACCTTCTTCCAAAGGAATAGCTGTTCCTACTTAATAACATTACTAGCATTGTGCATCAGCCAGATGCCAGGGAAAGGTAAACGGCCTCAGATTTCTATAAGGACTGCTCCCACAGATCATTCCTGAGGAAATTCTTCGCTGGCCTCCCACAAATAAGGACATGCAAATTGTGACTTTAGGTCTGCAGGCTCCTGAAACCAAAGGCTGTTCAATTCCACTCACATAATGTTGATTACAACTTTATCTTCCCAGGTGCAGAACAGACATGAGACAAGATCACTCATTCATCCACCTACCCAGAGACATCTACATAATTGATTCTCCCTTAACTCCCTTTTTCTCTTCAAATATTCACCTTATGTAAAATGTTGATTTTCTGGGCACTAACTAATATCTCACCAGGATGTAACCATTTGCCTCGCTGCACACCCCTTTCTTCCTTTTCCTTTCTGTGTGCCCTCTCCCCTTCCACACTGAGTTCCCAGCTCCCTTTCTGGAGAGTACATGTCCCAGGTGCTTCTGTGGTTTGTGCTTTTCCCAGGAGTGCCATCAAACTTTAGTTTAATAAACCTCCATGGATTGAAATCTTTGCCTCAGTCACTTATTTGGGGTTGTTAATGTCTACAATATGCCATGCAATGGGGGCTTTCCTGATGGGTCCACGGCAAGGCCACATGCCACTCCTGCCCGAGTGACTCCTCAGGTGGCTCAGCACAGTCCTCTCCCTTCACTCTAGTCAGACCCAGGTGAGCCAGGAGGCAGCTGGAGCTCGCGGGGCCGGGTTAGACATCTCTCCTGCCAAGCCTAGCGGGGTGGACTTAGCAGTTTCAGCTTCTGACACCCTGTGGGTGATTTCACAAGTGTTAGAGGGTGACTTTCATATGATTGGCAGCTCAGGGGAAGAGGGAAAAGCCCTTTCTGTGACTCTCGCAGGCAGGGTGACAATGAGGCATGTGCATGGAGCAGCTTGGCACAAGGCAGGGCTGAGAATCCCCTGTCAGCTCTGGGGCTGAAGGTGGCAGGTCCTGGCTGGATGTGGCCCAGGACATCAAAGCTGTGCAGACTGAAATGGGACTTGTCCCCGCCCAGGTGGCCTCTGGGCGGGTCAGCTGGCCTGGAGAAAACAACAGGGCCTCAACGTGACAGTCCCCGCATTCTGCAGACTTAAAAGGGAAATCCTTTGGATTCTGACTGGACTCCTGGGGCTCCGTGGCCTGAGGCTGCAGAGAGGAAGAAAAATCTGGAAAGGGCTGCATGTTGCAGGGAGGGGCTCTTCAGAGGTGATCAGAGAGGGTGTCGTGCCTGCGAGGACTCAGTAGCCTGGGCTGCTCTGTGCCTTCATGTGCCCTCAGCTCTGCTGACGATGCCGGGGACCCCTCTCCCCATACTGCTCCCTGTCACCTTCACTCACCCCACATGGCTCTGCGGATGCCTCTTCCTCACGGTGACTCCCAGCGGCCTGCCTGTCAGCCCGCAGGTACTCAGAGCTTCGCCCCAGTGCCGCTGCCCCTGGGACAGACTCCGTGCCTGCGCCTTCCCTGCTCCGTCGTCCAGTGCTCGTCCCTGGCTGGCTTGGGTTTTTATTTGCATTTCCCTTCCTGTGTACACAAAGGTAGGACACAGAGGAAGGCCAGCAGAGGGCAAAGAGCACTAGCGCTGGAGCCAGGACACAGAGGAATGTTTGGTGTGTGACTTTGGGCAAACGGTGGAGACGCTGCCTCTGGACATCGGTGTGACGAGCTGGGTCCCCTGTGCCAGACCCCAGTGCCTGGGCTGTGCCGGTGCCGGTGCCAGGGCGGGTGCAGAGACGGGGCCTCTGCCCCAGCCCTTACAACCTGCTGGATAGCAGTGTCTGTGTGTTCTCTCTGCTGCTTGCACACGTTCAGCTAGCGAGATAGATAACCTGATGGATGATGGATGGATAATGGGAAAGAAAACTGTTAGAATGAAAAATTAATCTTATAGACCACCAGTACCCAATAAAAGTCTTACATGGACGCTGAACCAGGATCACTTTTTCCCTGAACTCACATTCATGGCTCCTGCAATCAGGTGTATTTCTCTCCCCAGTTGGGTGAAATAAGGAAGTAGTAGCCTAAGGCTGTTTTTTTCTTTTTCTATTTCTTTTTTTTTTTAGTGCCACAAAGGTCCACATAACTGCTTGTTCCTGTTCACAGTGAAAATGGCTTAACCAGATGAATGAAGGGTAGAGAACGCGCAACAGAAATCAGAGAATTTTAAACCAAGCTTATTTCCAAGTGCAGTTAAGCCGAAACAAAGCCCAGGCCTGCCTGCCGGCCTCCAGGTTCTCCTGCCTCGGCGAAGATATTCTCTCTGTTTCCTCCGCGCCTGCAGCCAGCTCCCCGTCCCCTTCCCAAACTGTGGCTGATTTATCTAAGACTTAGGCTGCTTCACAGTATTTTGAAAACAAACTAGAAACCTCCTTCCAGTTTTCCAGAGGTGACTAAATCCAAGAAGCCTTAGGAATGTAAAGGACAGGACAACGTAAACAACGGTTCTGAGACACTGTGTCTGGCAGCAGTATGGAAAGTTACTTCTTTCCCTTTTTTGTCCACCAGCAAAGATGGAAGCTGGATTTGGTCCATTGCATAAAGTGCAGTGACCGGTGCATAAATTTGCTATTCGATCTTGGAAAAACTCTAAGGATCTAGAGTTAGCCGAGGGGTTGCAGCAATGCTGGTGTTTCAAAGGGCCTAGAAAAGCCAAAAGTCCGGGCTAACCAGCCATGGTGCCCTGTCTCACGGGCTGCAGGTTTGCCTCCGTTAGCACAGCAGGCGAAACTTTCCCTTGCTCAGAGTCGACATGACATGATTTGTTCCCTTTTGGCTGTGTCAGTTCTGCAAACCAGATACCAGAGTCTGCAAGCTCAGGAGAGCCTGCCTTTCTGGAACACCATTTGTTTGGACAGGACAGGCCACTAAGGCGTTTTCATCTCTTTAAAGCTCCCAGGGCAGAGAGCATATTTGAGGAATTCCTTTTTTCAAAGATTTTTTTTTTTTTTTTTGCCCCTTCCAACATTTTGTTTAAGAGAAAATGAGATGTCTATCTTCTGTTTCCTTATTTTTTTTCAGGAAAGCAAAGGGTTGTTGACTTCCTCCCTCTCCCCTCCCTTCCTTCCTTCTTCCCGAAGGTACTCATCTGAGAAAAAGAGAACGAAGTATTGTTCCTGTTCTCTTTCTTAAGTCATTTGAAACACTGTCCCTGCGAGTTCTTTAAGTTCCCTGTAATCTGTACACAAGAGAAAGAGGGAGAGAGTGAGGGAGAGAGACACAGAGAGCAGGGATCAGGTAAAGGATTGAGGCTGCTGCAGCCATTCAGACCTCAGGAGCTGGTAAGTCACCCATGCACTCATTTCTGCTTCCATTTCGATGTCCCTGGGATGGATACTGCTGTGGGCATCTTCAACAGAAAATACCTTGCTGGGTATAGTCTTTAATCAAAGGGGATGACTGATGGATGGCCCAGAATTTCAGCTTATACTTTTTTTTTTAAGAGAATATTGATGCTTTGCAGAGCTGAGGCTGCCAGAACTGGAAATAGAATTGCACTGGGGCTAAGGAGGACACTGTGTTAAATCTGAATTTTGGCACAGATAACGTGGCCAGGTTATCCAGGAGCCACTGGAGTGTGTGATGTGTCCCACTGGAGTGTTCACTCTTCGTCAGCTCTGTGTCCTGGGAACCTTATCAGGGTGTCTGTTAAGAATTGTGGTTTGCTCTGGAGGTTTTGTAACATGTTGTCTGGATTGAGGTGCCCTTCTCCTGTTCTTTTTTTTAATTCCCTGTGGCATCCCCCCAAAAGAGGACTGTTACTTTGTGACTGTTATTCTGCATCACTGAAAAAAGAAAGGAATGTCACTTTGAAATAGCAGTGCGTCTGGGGGGTGGCTTATGTGCTCAGGTTCCACATGTGGACTCAGTGTAAATTTATTATTTGCTGTCAATGGAAGACGTCATCTGCCACACAAAAGAAGGCAGAGATTTTGGGGCATATAGCTTTAGTTTTGGAAAACAACATGTAACTAGAATGGGAAGATTAAGATTGATCGCTTGTGTGAGTAGGAGGGGGAAAAAAAACTAAGCTGTAGATGCAACTGAAAAACATTCACCCAGTGCCTGGTTTTCCAAGCACCAAATAGAGTACTGCAAGTTAGTCAAGCTCATACACATATCTAGTTTTTAAAAGTCTAACTTGCTTCAATTAAATTTGTCAGAAAGGATAATGTTACCAAGAACTCATCATGGTAAGCCATGAGGGAGCTGAGATCATGTTGTCAAAAATAGGCCAGCAAGATCACTTGGAAAGACAGTGTATGTTTACTAATGTGAGTAGTTTAATTTAGAGAGGCATCGAATGGGTGAAAGGCAATGGCCAAGCATACTTTTTAAAAATATTCATTTCTATGAAATTTACTGACTGAAATAACCTGGGATATGAAGAGTATGATAAAAATATCTGAACTCTTATTTTAAAATTACTTTGGCCAATCTATGCTTTAGCCACAATCAAGGAATTGATCTTTATTCACAACCGAGCCATTATCTTAATAAGGATGAGAACATATGATAGCACTAGACTGTTGTGTAGGTTTTGTTCTATTAGTCAGACCTCCTTTCTCTTCTCCTTTTTACAAGAGACTTTCCTTAGGAGCACCATAAAATGAACAATGTATAAGAGATGTGATTAGCATTTGCCTGCTTGAGGATGCAAAATTATTCTAATAACGGTGGAAAGTGGTTTCCAGCTTCCCTAGCAGCGACCCTGGCCACTCCATTTTCGTAGATCTTCAGGTCAAAAGGTAGCCAGGGCTGACTGTGTTGGGCGTTATTGCATCATTTATCAGCAATTGTGACCCCAGTAGAAAACTCAGGGCTGCGATCTTGACTTGCTCCTTTCAGTTTCATTTCTGTTGATAATGCATTTAATTTTCTGCGCGATTAAAACAACGCCATGCAACACTCTATAGTTTTGGTTATTGAATAAAAGCATCAGATGCAATCAGAAACAATTAATAATAGCAGAGTCCTCAGACTAAAGACAAGGAAGGCAAAACGTGGGTAGGGCCAATGGCCCAGAAAACAGCCCCTGCTAGCACACATCTTCATTGCTGCTGGAGAGTAAGGAGCTGGGGGTAAGCTATTTTCTTTAAAGCAAAAAAATATATATTCAATGTTTCCATTCAAGTTAAACCATTGCCATAAGAATAGTTGTTGGATATTGGGTAAAAAAAAATCAGCTACCTGAAGAAAAAAGCCACCAACAAGTCTAATCTAAGTCGCTACTACTCAATCTATGTCTGCTCAACTCCAAGGAGTGAGTTGGCATTCGTGGAAACTTCCAGTGGATGATTCTTCTTTGGGGTCATCAGAGGCTGTTTCGTGATATCATTGGGGGAATTCCAGTGTGGAATGATCCAGAATTTGACACACACAGATTTCATTAATTTATTTCTGCCGAATCTGTACACACAGCTAAATTACAAATTTAATTTTAAATCATGTTAGGTCTGTGTGTTGGGATGTGAATCAAGTTACAATAGAGCACAGGCTACGTTGTCATACAAATTGAATTTGAATTCCAGCTTTGTCACTTACTGATCAGGGGCCTTAGCTCAGGTGTTTAACCTAAGTCTCAGTGTTCCCACATGTAAAATTGCATGAATACAAGAGAGTTCTTGTCAGGGTTAAATATGATTATAAAACAGTTAACACAATGCTTGGCAAGTAATAGGAGTCAATCAATATCAGTTGTAATCTTTAAGTCATATATTAACACTTAAGAGTACTGTATTCTATTAATGTAGAGACTAGAATGAGTCTTCCATAATTCCTGTAATTTTTCTTGCTTAATACTATACCAAGGATTTATCAGAACAAAAATTATTTCTCGTAGCTTTAGAGTTGGGCCCATATTGAGTGATGATATTATGAACCCCAAATCCTTATACAGTAAAAGAAGGTAGAGTTTAATGTATTGATACTCATTTTGCTAATAGCAGAAATGCCAGATTTAGCTTCGTTGATTATACCAGCTGTATTCAATAGTGCTCAATGCAGGGGAAAGTTCATCTGGGATGAAAGTTTGCTATTTAAATGAATGTGTGAACAGACCTTAATTATACTGTAGACATTTCTCCCTTTCACCCACTTCCCCAACCTCTAGAGCTCTGTGTCATGGGTGACCTTTTACCTGTCCATGGAAGGCTGTAGACAGATTTTTTGGAGACCACAGTGACTGTGCCGTGACTCAGCCAGAGAGAAAAGGACTTGAAGTGACATATCTGCCCCCACCGAGAGAGGAGCATACTTGGAGTTCTCTCTCCTCAAGCATTCTGGCAGGGAGCCATCCACCCTCACACAGATACACACAGGAACACGGTATCCCCACACGGGGCGTGTGCAGGGTGGGGGGCGGGGTACCTGATTGACCCAACTGCTATTTTTCTCTCACTCTTTTAAACTTTAAAACTTTATATGCCCATTCGTTTGTCAAGCAATACTGATATTTTTACTTAGGTCTTAGTTAAATATTCCTCCACTTTCTGAAAGCAAAAAACAACCACAAATCTACCACTAACAACCTTTTGTTATTATAACCATTGGGGTCTTTTTGTTGGAATAAGAGGCTTCATGCAGCAGAGACTTGTTTGGACACTCAACCTTAGGAAAACAAATCGAAGCTGAGGTGTACCGCACTAACGTGCGAAAGGTGCCTTCTCTTGTGCTTGCTGCGTGGAGTAGAAAAAAAGACTAGATGGTGAGTCAGAACACTTCTGATCCCACCTTTGCACTCCCTTATATGCGCGACTTGAAAGATTTCTTTACTTGCTTGGACCTCGGTTTTCTCGTCTATGAAATGACAGGCTGGACTAAATAAGTAATTTTCAAGGCAGTCTGTGTGTGAGACTATGTATCAGAATTCACTTGGGGTTGGGGAGGGGGGCGCTCGTTCCCACCGTCCTCTTCCCGGCCCTCTGCACTGGGTGAGTGTGGGAAGCTGCTGTTGGCGTCCTGTGGTTCTCTGAGATGGAAGGTGAGTGTCTGTTCCGCCTTCTCCGGGATGACATGGACGTTAACTATAAATGCATGCACTCAGAGCCATGCTTTCAAAGGGAATTCCTGTTCTACATTGGATGTTCTCTCTAGAACTTAGTGTTGAATACATCAATTGTTATTCTAGAAGCGATTAGTATTATGGAATAAGGAATGTCCTAGCAATCTGATGATACTGATCAACAGCCATATATAAGTTATAAAAAGATTGATTATAGATCGATAAATATTGTCATTCAATATAAATAGCACTTTTTGATTTATGCATTTCCATATTATTTGCATCTTACAGCGAGCATGTATTCTTTTTTAAATAAAAATACACAGATATCAACCTTTTTCTATTCACTTTTAAAAAATATTAGTAGATTTGATCTCATAAGGTTTTTCTTTTAAACCTTTTACAATGTGTGCTGTGCTGAGCCTATTTTAGAAGTTAGATCCTTGTTCTTAAATTGATGGTGACATGGAAAGGCAAAAGGATTGATATGAGTGTTTAAAAAAACAGCAATCACAAGTCACATTAACTCTGCTTTAATTATAAGGAAAATATGTACCTTATAAAAAAAGCATGCTGAGGTTTCTGATTTTGTCTCTACCTAAATCACTTTTTTCCCCTAATGTATTTATATGACTAATGAAATAGAGTGGCAATGAGCACAGGTCTCGGTCCTACAGGAATATAAAGACAACAAATATCTTGATGTGCGCTCTTGGAAACAGCTAAGCTAGTAAAGACTAGTCTTTTTGACTATCCAAATGCCAAATACGTTTACATAAAGCAATGATATTTAGATAAAAGAATAGGAACATGTCTTCATCAGGTGCCGTGCATAACACATAAGTTCACTAGAAAGTAAGCACCACCAGGACAGGGATTTTGTTTTATTTACTGCTGTACACCTGGAGACTACAGGAAATAGCACATAGCATGTAATACATGCATAAGGAATATTTTTTGAATAGATGAGTTGATGAATAAGTTGAATGCAGAATGAAAGATGCTATCTTTATATAACACCAAACGAAGTGGTTAATGACTAAAAAAGTTAGTCAAATTTTTTTGCAGTCTAGACAATGCCAAACTGCCAGCTTGACAGATTTATTCCTCACCTGAATTGACTGGAATGGGGTTGTTTTGCTGTTGTGTGCACGGGGCTGGTACGTGTATATTAAACCGTCATCTTGGCAGTTCCCACCACCCACTTGTTCATGGAAGATTAGCATTTATAAGATAGATACACAGAAAAGACTTTTGGTTGCATTATATTTTCCATTT